TCAAAGCTACAAACCACCTTCAAATGCTACTTATCTCTGTCCATCTTCGCAAAATGAGATGATTGAGTGCTGTGCAGAAGAAATAGCTACCTGCATAGTTGAAGAGGTGAAAAAATCAAAAATGTTTGCAGTTATGGCCGATGAAGCAAGGGATGGCCATGTTGAGCAGCTTGCTGTATGTGTACGTTATGTCACAGCTAAAGGCACAGTAAAAGAGCACGAGTTAGAAAAATAAATAAAAAGACTGGAGTGTCTACATCAGGGCTGCCCAAACTCGGTCCTGGAGGGCCGGTGTCCTGCAGAGTTTAGCTCCAACTTGCCTCAACACACCTGCCTTCAAGTTTCTAGTATGCCTAGTAAGAGCTTGATTAGCTGGTTCAGGTGTGTTGAATTGGGGTTGGAGCTAAACTCTTCAGGACACCGGCCCTCCAGGACCAAGTTTGGGCACCCCTGGTCTACATAGTACAGTCCCTACTCAAACAAATTGGGCCCAACTATGTCGAGTCAGAGCTGAACTTAATTTGGATCACACAAACCACATTAAAAAACTTATTTTCCTTTCTAAACAAAAGTACTATGAATATGCAAATAAACCTAACCGAATACTGGCCCACCAAATTAAAAAAATACAGAATGAGAGAACAATTAAGTCAATGAAGACTCCAGACGGCTCAATTACATACGATGCTGTTTTGATTAATAAACTATTTAGAACGTTTTACAAAACATTATATAAATCACAAGTCACGGCGGAACAATCTGATATTACTGAGTTCTTAGATAGAATTCCCCTTACGACTATCTCTGAAGAAGACAGGATGTTTTTAGATTCGCCCTTGTCACCGGAAGAAGTTTTTAGTGGAATCCAATCTATGCCCTCCAATAAATCTCCAGGCCCTGACGGGTTCCCCTGTGAGTTTTATAAAAAGTTTTGGCCAGAACTTTCTCCTATTCTAATGCCCGCTCTCCAAAATTTACTAGACCATGGAGTGGTCCCCAAGTCATGGAAAACAGCATCAATTTGTTTAATTCCTAAAAAAGACAAAGACCTTCAACAATGTGCCTCTTATAGGCCAATAAGTCTCCTGAATACCGATTATAAAATACTTGCCAAGATACTTGCTCGCAGGCTCGAAACTGTATTGCCACTCGTCATTAAGCCGGACCAGACAGGATTCATAAAATCACGCTTTGGCACAGACAACATTCGTCGACTTCTAAATGTTATAAATTCAATACAAGCACGTAAACTCCCAGCCCTTATTATTTCCCTTGACGCAGAAAAAGCCTTCGACAGAGTCGAATGGGAATTTCTTTTTGCCACCCTCAAGAAATTTAATCTAGGTCCAAAATTCATTGATCTGATAAAATTGCTTTATGCTAGTCCTCGAGCTACAGTGACTACGAATGGTTTGATCTCAAAATCCTTTGGCATAGAAAGAGGTACGAGACAGGGGTGCCCTCTTTGACCCCTGCTCTTCGCCCTCGTAATTGAACCACTGGCTGAATCCATAAGGCAATGTCAACACTTCTTTGGAATAACGGTAGGAGACGAGGAACACCGAATTTCTTTATACGCAGATGACGTGCTGCTGTATATTTCTGAACCAGACAAGTCAATTCCAGCGATACTAAAATGTATTTCAGATTATAGTAGTTTATCTGGATATAAACTTAACTTGTCGAAATCTATGGCGCTCTTTTTCAAAATCTCTACTTTAATCGATCTTTCATCTCTTTCACCCTTCAAAATAACTAGCCTACTGTTGGTTTTAAATATCTCGGCATATTCATCACACCAATATTGAATGATTTATTTAAAAATAATTATGCCCCTCTTCTTGATGCCATTAAAAAAGACCTTAACACTTGGCGGACACTCCCTATTTCTTTTTTGGATAGGATTAATGTGATTAGAATGAATATTCTACCTACATTTTTATACTTATTTCAATCCCTACCTTGTTATTTACCCAATACTTTCTTTAAAGACATCAATAAGCACTTTTCTAAATTCATTTGGAACCATAAAATGCCCCGAATTAATTTGAACAAATTAATGAAACCAAAAGACAAGGGAGGAGTCGCTTTACCAAATTTTCGTCTTTACTATTGGTCAGCACAGGTGAAGCATATGGTCAGTTGGTACAATGAAATGACTGATTCTAGATGGTTCAACATTGTCATATGTAACAATTTGTTCTCTAAATGTACTTCATTGGGGATTCACAAACTCAGTTATAAATTCATTAACAGAGTTTACAAAGATTTACAGAAACTCCTCTGATCTTTGTTTTAATTGCAAAAAACGCAAAGGAACATTCCTTCACTGCTTCTGGTATTGTGACAGAATCTTTTCTTTTTGGACTAAAGTACATAATTTTTTACAAAGTCTTTTTAAGTTGAAATGTTGTTTTTCTCTGGAATTGTATTTGTTATAAATGGAAAAAAAAACTTAAATGAAAGGGAAAAACACATACAAAAAAGTCAAAATTCAATTTAAAAAGTGCTAATAAAGTACTACTACTAATAATAATAAAAAAAAGTAGTGAAAAAAAAAAGTTTGAGGTAAAATAAACTTGAGCTAAAACGCTCATTTATTAGCCTGTAAATCAACAGTGGAGTGTATGGTTGTGGCACAAAGTTTGATGGGATCTTTGGAGCATTAAAGGGGTCATATGATGCGATTTCAAGTTTTCCTTTCTCTTTGGAGTGTTACAAGCTGATTGTGCATAGATAAGATCCCTGAAGTTGCAAAGACTAAAGTCTCAAAACCAAAGACATATTCTTTATCAAAGTTAAGACTCTGCCATGCCCCCCTAAAACGGCTCGTTCTAACACGCCCCCACATATCTACCTCACTATGTGGCAATATTAGCATAATGTGGCCCAAATGTGCACGCAAAGAAAGAAGGCGTGGTTTCAGTAACCGCAGTTAGTGTTGAAGCAGCCATGTCAGGGAGAAGCTGTGTGTTTCTAGGCGAAAGCAAAAGCACTTTATTTGGCCTTCCGAAAGTAGATGCATTTAGGAATCTTTAAGATTACTTACAACAGAACAGCAATGCATTTTATGGACGACCGTTTCGTGAAACTAGGAGGTAATTCTGACTTTGCTATGACAATCTGGCGCTTCTGAATCAGCTACTGTTTTGTTATTAGTTTAAGTATTTGCTATTGACTGTTCAAA